TTATCATTATGCATATATAATGATAATAATACAAAAATAAACATAGGTTTATAGTAAATATAGCTGTTAAAGTTTTTTTTATGAGGTCACAAGATATGTTGGTAAGTGTATTTATTAATAGGGAGTCATTATCAAGGAACACCAATTATGCAGCAGACAAAGACTGGGAAAGTGGTAAATAATGAAGAAGTCAAGACAATGATACAGAGTAATCTGGACTGATGTGTTCCTTCTCTATTCTTGTAGTTTCTTTGCCTTCCCCTTCTGAACTTCTTTCAGTGGAGTCATAAAATCAGACCTGTGGGTTTTGGATTAATTTTCAAGTTCAGAGAAAGTGACTGTTTTCTTGTTTTGCCTAAAGCAAAATGTGGAAAATAAGATAAGCAATGTCTGGTGTGGTTATGATTGTTTCCATCTGAAATTTAATATCTTGCCAGAGGGACATTCAAAAACCTTAGGATATTCCTTTTAGCTGCTGCAGTTTAAAATATCCAGGTCTCTATCAGTTTTGATTGTTTGTAATAATTTTATATATATCTTTTTTTTTTCATCCAGCCTCTGGATCAGATTGCGAAGTACTTCTCGGAGCAAGAAATTCCATTTCCCAAAATTGAGATAAGTGAGGAAGACAGGGAAAACTTGAAGGAGTGCTATGTGTTTGAAGAGGCTGACAGTCCACAAGCTCCAACAGTGCTTTTCTTTCCTCTAGTAAATGACACCTTCAAGAAATATAAAGCTCCTGGTGAGTCATCTGTGATAGCAATTTTAATAAAAAATTGTTTTCCTAGTGAATTCTTTCCATTTCATATCTAATGTGTCTGTCACTGTCATCTCTGACCTTTACAATGCCAGCATGGGTCTCATCACTGAAAAAAATAACTGCTCTGTGTCAGTAAATCTCAACTATATGAACTCCAGAATCTTTCTTAAAGCACTTGACATTCTTAAAGCACAGGCTGCTAGAACTGCTAGACGTAGTATGAAAGCAAAAAATTCTGATACTTCTACACCTTGAGGGGTAGGTTCTCAACACAACATGTTTTACTCTATAGAAATGCACTGCTGCTTGCCAACAGTGACAAGGAAAAAACTTCTGCTAGTTTTGGTGTGAAAGCCATTCATTCAAGTTTTTTTTCACATATTTAAAAGTAATCTACGAGTCTGAGGCTTGTGTGGACAGAGATCTTTGGTTTTAATTGAATTATATCCTCTGAGTGCAATTATTTCTTCTGAACTTTCAGTGCAGTGGCTATTATTTTATCTAGTACAAGAGTATCTGGTTTTCTTTTAGCTTGTTCTTTTCTAGTTAGGTAAAAAAGACTATGTTGTCCCAGCAATGGTCTAGCATTGCTGCTGCTAATGTTCTTCTAACTTCAAGCTGTTTGAGTGATATAAATGTCAAATGTAAAGTCCTGTTTGGATAGAGGCTTGATCCAGATGCTGAAGAATACAGTGCTACTAGCACAGTATTTTTACTTGCCTCTGGCAAATGATATCTTTCCTTCCAAGTCTCCCTTTTCTACCTGTAATTATGTAAATACTGATAGTAGCCACATACTGCAATAAAACCTTATTGGTGCATCTCCCTGTGGATTGTCCCCTTAGGTGTGGAAAGGAGTCCTGAAGAGATGGCTGAAGGCAAAGTTGATGTCTCCAGCATCCTCTCCCCATTTACAACAAGAGAGGTGTGTTTCAGTGAAGAGAATTTTGACAAACTGGTGAAACTGACAGATTACAACGTCCTGAACAATGAGAAGTTGATTATTCAGGCCTTGCGCTTGGCAGTGGCACGGAGGAAGCAGAGGAATTATTAGCCACCACACACTATCTTCAGTCTTTCATGTGGTATTTCTAGGTTTGGTGAGGTCAAGATGTTGATTCTTATCAGTGGTACTTGCAGTGGAAATCACATCATCCTAAGGACATTCTGGACTCCACCCTACTTACATGGCTCTTCAGACAGATTGCAATTTACCAATGGTTTAGTCCAAAACAAACTTCAAAGCAGTAAATTTGTTTTTAGTTTTGTTACCAAGTTACTTTGCTAATTGATATAGATATTGAATATAAATTATTGTAGTGTTGTGGAAGATAATAATGAATTATGTGTCACATTAAAATTTGTATAAAAATAGTATTTATATGGTGTGTTTTCTGTGTGGCAGAACAACAATCCTTTGAACTGGAATTTCTTTGGTAAATAACTGATTCATTGTGCTGGTCTTGCTTATTTAATTATTGAAGGTTGTCATCTCTGATTTGATTGTCTGTCCACGATGAGAATTTTATTTAACTGTCCTCACAAGTCTTTGAAAATAAGTTTCTGAAGTTAGTATTGTTAAAATTTATAGTTTTCACCATCAATAAAAAGTTACCCCAGCATTAGATCATTGTTTCAGGAGATCAAACATGTCCTCTCTGAGCAGCTGTTCCCAGAACCACTTAGATTCAGCCTAAGCAGTAGATGTGTTGCCCAGCTTTCCTTCACTTTTCTCTTGGAGTTTCTGCTGACTGCCCTGTCTCACTCATCTTTACCCGCATTTACTGTTCCTGAAGGATAACCTTGTGATTTCTCCCAGTGTTTCATAAGACGGGAAGCAGCTGCTAGCTGTTTGTGCAGAATAGGGCCATGCAAGAGACCCTTTTGGGATCCTTTCCAGGCATATCTTTCACACCTGTCCAACACTTACAGGAAAATGGTCTTTGCAGGGATTGTTCTGGGATACTGGTTTCTCATTACCAGAAATCCTAGAGGTCTTCTGGGGGACAAGTAGTTGCCAAGACTCCTCTCACAGCTTTCTAACAGGCAGATCACAAGCTCAGTCTTTCACAACATCAGCCTTGTACTGTGGAGCTGTGATTCATAAAGAGACTGGTCACAGGAGCTCATAAAATGTTTTGGATTATCTTCCTTGTGTTAATAAAAGATTTCCACTGTTGCAAGGAAATTCAGACAGTCAACAGAGCAGAGTTAGTGTTGAGATCAGGATAGTCTTGACTATCATCAGAAACGACAATTTTTTTGTATGGAATAAAGTTATAGGTAATGGATGGTAGAAAAGGATAATTTGATTTATTCCTAAAAAAAAACCCCCACCAGCTGATGGGGCATCTAAGAGTGTTTTGGGTGGAGGAGGAGAACGAGAGGGCAATATTTTTCACTTACGAGCATGTTCATTGTGTTCAAATACTTGAAACTCTTGGAAGAGCATGGTGTAACCCTGCTTTCAGGTACAACATTGTATGTTTAAATCTAGATCATTGTTCCTCCATGTGTGAGGCAGCTGTAATTGTGGTTCTACTTCAATATACTAGAATATCTAGTTCATGGGATGCTTCTGGGTCCTTTCTAGAGACATCTTTGTGTTTACTGTCGTGGTTTCCTATACCTTTTTGCTGGAAATTAAACCAAGTGGGATGGAGGATTCCCGTGTTTTACAGGGAAAAGTTGCTCAACAATAGGATGGAAAAAAGGTAGGTGCGATATGCAGCCTGAGACTGATTAATGCTGCTTTTCTTTGTGTCCTGCTGGCTGACACAAAACCTTTCCCTCTCTGACCATTCCTACTACTCTCAAGCTCTTCAGTTTCCCCAGTGTTTCAATATTGTCTTTTTAAAACATAGTACCAATAGTGATTGTTTTATATATATTTTATTTTTAATTTCAAGTTGTTTAAGATGACTGATAAAAACATGCAGGCTTGTAACTGAGCTTTTGCCATCTCTCTAGGAATATTTTCTGTTTGGGTTATCTTCCTTTTACTGCTGCTTCTTGTGATCTGTTAGTTACCGATCCTTAATGTGTTCAAAATTTGTCTGGTGACATTTGTTGGATCTAGTTCTTAGGTTAGAATGTCTTAAAGTGCCAAATATTTTAGGAAATTAAATTATATCACGTCATTGAAATTACCTTTATCAATGGGTTCTCAATTCATTGCAAAGTGAAATTATATTATTTTGAAATTGATTGATATGTTAATTTTTGTAATAGCAAGGGTGATTTTAAAAACACAAAACCAAAACCCGAACTCCCATTTTTTTAACTTCTGGTGTGCTAATTTTGTCTACTCCCTCAATGAGGCATGTTGTGTAGTGTCCTGTGCAGTGAAGTCTTATAAATGTGAAGACATGTGAGAATGTGAGGAGTAATTAACATTGATGTCAAAAATTTATTTCATCCTCCCAAGTATATCCTCTTAGAGGTTGCTCACTGAAGCATCTTAATTCAGATGCACAAAGTAACAAATTTTCTGAGAAAGTAAGTGAGCTGTTAAAGCTTTATCTTACAAGGGAAACTCTCTCACAGGTTCCACAGGTGATTTGGGAATTTTTTTCATGCAGTATTTGTCACTGCAACGTCTGCTTGGCTGGACGACAGTTTACTGCCTGAACAGAGCAAAATGGAAGTTAAGATGGAGATGACAAAATTTCTTTCAGGTGTGTCTTTAAGCAAAGAACACAGAGTCCCTAAAAACAATGAAAGCTACAAAAAGGCTTTTGTATGCACATTTGGATGGTCTCGGGATGCCCTTGGCCAAAGGAGTCCTGGGCAGATGGTCCCTGGCTGCTGCCAATCATTTCCCCACAAGGGACTGCAGGTTGACAGCTCACCAGTGGGCAAGAGCATTGTGGTGTCCTCAGAAAAGTGATGAGGTTGCAAGTGTAAAACATTTGTTCAGTGCCTGTAACCTTGAAGGGAATATCACGTTTCAGTCTTCATTTTCCTCTAACTGCGAGTGCAGAGACCGTCCTTCTGCAGTGCCAGAGGCAGGTGCTTTGGTGCAGGTGCGCAGCCTCAGCTCCCGGGCAGAGAGGAGGAAGAGGAGGAGGAGCTGGGATTGCTCAGGTGGTGGTGGCGGGTGAGGCTGCTCTGAGTCAGGCGCTCACACACCTGCCTGCCGGCTCCTGGCCGCTTAAAGCACAGCAGCTGCCTGCCGGAGAGCCTTCGCACACATCCACCAGCACGCTGCACGCCTGGCTCACACCGGGAAAGGACCACGATGGGGCTGTTCTACAGCAAGAGCCAGGTAAGGAAAGGCAACAGGAGGCTCTGCAGTGAGCTGAGCAGGCTGCCCTGGGGGCAGAGGGGACCTGCTCCAGGAGGGGATGTCTCACCTCTTATATCTTCAGCTCTGAGAGTTATCCTGAGCAAAGCAGGGTTTCCTTCTTTCTGGGTTTTGTGACTACTTTGTGTTTTGGCCTTCAGGAATGCAAAAACTTTATTGATGTAGTAATTTACTATTTTGAAGATTCCCAATTAATAAAAAAAAAAGATACCTTTTTGCTTCCACCCAAATGGGCTAGGCAAAACAGCACACTGAGGAAAAATAAGAAGTTATCACTAATGTCAATGAATTCATAGGGAAAGTAAGAAAACTAATACTATGTGAGATGTTATATATAGCTCTCTTAAAAATGTGGCAGTTTTGGGGCATAAGGGAATGAATGGTAATGTATTGTTATGTACTGATCTATGTATTTGTTACAGTGATGCTCCCTGCTCTGTAGGTATTGTGCTGTTTCCTCACAGGTTTGTTAAGTGTCTTTTGGTAACCACTTTTAAGTTTAGGTGGTTTCCCAAAATAATAAAAAGGCTTGGGTTGGGAGGAATCTTCAAAATCAGCTAGCTCCAATCCCACCCCCAGGGGCAGAGATATCACCCGCTATCCCATGTTGCTCAAGGCACCATCCAACCTGGCCTTGAACACTTCCAGGGATGGGGAACCCGCAGCTCTTCTGGGCAGCATGTTCCAGTGCCTCACCACCCTCTGAGTTAAAGAATTTCTTTCTAATATTTGATCTAAATCTCTTCTTTTTTAGTTTAATACCATTCCTTCTCATCCTATAACTAGCTGTGTGAAACTGTGTGAACTCTCCCTCTTGTTCATAAGCCCCCTTCAAGTACTGGAAATCTGCAAATATTTCCTTTGATATATTCCTCAGAGCTTTACTTAAAGGAAGATTGAATGAGCTGAATTATTCACAGAGAAGTAATTAACTACAGAGTTGTGCCTTTCACTCACTCCTCCTGAGAAGTTTGGGATAGGTCTCTGGAGGGCCATTTCCAGGTCCTCATTTTTTAAAAGACAACACCTATGTCTCTATATCAGACATAAGAATGTAATTATGTAGCTATAAATCAACTGACGAGCAGCATCATTACACCATGATATCGTTACTAATTCCTGCCCTGCTAGATTGTTTGCTGTTTGTTGTGAAATATAAGGGATATATATGACATCCTGGGAATTTTCTCAGACCAAGATGTGTGTCAGCTGTATTAATAACACAGCAAGGTTCTTTATCACACCTTTCTATGAGATTGGGTTGTAAGAGTCAGATACCTCAAGCTGAAGGTTTACCACAAGTGTCCTCAGAATGGACAATGGAGGACGTCAGAGGTCTGGTCAGTGGTCACACCTGGCTACAAACCTTCTGGGAAGAAGTCAATGGAGAAGGAGGAACTTCAGAAATGTTTTTGTTTTTTGGAACTGAAACACTAATTCAATTTTATCTCTGACTACACTTTTCTTCTTCCTTTCTGCATTCTCATCCCATGCATTTTGTGTGCTTTTCAACAGACAGAACCGTCTCCATGCAACTTGCTCACTGTAAAAATCATACAGATGAAAAATGCCAGGAAAGCAGACTTGTGTAAGTATCTCTGGCTATAGCCCTGGAGCATCCTCATGCTTGTAAAACTACTCTGAATATACTAAGTGTCACAAACACTGCAGACTATACTTAAAAGGAGAGAGATAGAAGATGTGTGGTACGCTGAAGATGAGGCAACACAGTTAGAAGACACTGTATTTTCCATATCTTTGTCCATATAACACTGAAGTCTAGCCACCAGTTGTAATACAGAACATGTTTGCACAGATTGCATAAAATATTTCACATCTGAATCTGCAAATAAATGTTCTTTTATTCACAGGAAAGATTGCAATAAGAACTTTCTTTCAATGGTTCCTCCTTACAGAAATGCCACCCTGTGTAACACTGGGCCTATAAAAGAATATTTGATGTGAGCTCAGAACTGCACACTTGGCACCTCTTATGGATTATCAAGTTCATTCAGCAATAGGTGTGGCTCACAGTTAGCTTTTTCTATTCTTAAATACTTTTACAAACTGCCCAGGAATTATAGTTATGCAAATATTTATTACAGTTATGCAAATATTTATTAATGGTCCATAAATATCTAAACTGTGAAACATTAGAAAAAAATTGCTTGAATGACAACCACCTCCTCCTATCTGAGAAGAGGGCTGATTGTTTTGCATCTGTTCATTTATACACATAGAAATGTGTGAATGCAGAAAGTTTCTATATGAGCAGGACCAAACTAAAGTTGTTCACCTAAAAAGATCCAGGACAAGATGTTTTTGTGCCTTTCCAACATTATTTGCTTCAAGTTCTGCAACAGTTTGTATAGAGACCAAAGGAATGTAAAGAAGAATTTTTCACTCTGATTTTTAGTGAAGAGCAGTAAGATGCTTTGCTGTTGATGAATGTATGGGGAAGAAGAATCCATATGAACCTTCTCACTAGACTACTTCTACAGCATGGAAAGCATGTTTTAAGCTCAGTTATAGTCTGGAGAGAAATCCCTTCCTACAGCTAAAACCTATTTGAATGTACAAACATGCACACTGAGCTGAAAAAAGAGGTGTGTAAAAATTGCAACCCTTAGACGTCTCCCTAGATAAGTATGTTCTATTAAAACATCTGCATGACAATGAGCTTACCAAAATTCCTCTTGACCCTTTTCTCATCTAGATCAATGCTTTTCATTTTCATCTTTAGGCTGTTTTTTTTCTGAATGGGGTTTATTTTGTTTTGCTGATGTTCTATGCAATATAAAACGTTTATAGGGCACGGGACAAGTAGTGAAATGCTCAGCCTTTTCTGCTTCCCAGTCCAAGCCATGTCCCACCACCCCATTAGCTTTCTAAAGGAGCAGTTTGTGTGACAGAGGTGATTTTAGAGGGAAAAAATTTTGCACAAAAAACCCAGGACACACACTTGCAAAAGGTGAACACTTTATTTGTTGTGTATGTTCATCATGTAGGAAAAGAAAATTATACCAGTCAGGGAGCACTGCCTTGCTTATGTTTAAAAGTTGAATCTAGTTTTGACTGACAGCTGCTTATTTCAGTAGTATTTAATTTACTGAGTGTGAAAATTTTCAGCTCTATTTATCAGAAATATTTGCTTTTAAACTGTTTGAGGACATATTTTTCTATGTAGCCAGACTTACAGAAGTCACAGATTTTTATAATTTAAAATAAACCTATATTTCAAAACCTTAATGTAATTAATTTAACCTCTGCTTAGCTTTTCTGACAATGTAAAAGCTAGTGCAAATTTATGTTCTTAATTTTATAGGACTTCCACTGAGAAGCAGTAAAATGAAAGTCTTGAGATAAAAAAAATGCAAACAAAATTTTGCTGGTTTGTGTAAAACCAGGGGAGTATTGTTGATTCAGTCATCTTTACAGTTCTCTAGACATTAGCTTGACACAGGCTTACAAACTCAGAGGCACAAGTCCTCCATCACCAGCAAAGTAGACTTCTGTATAGGACCATTTTCCTAACACTGGTTTTTTTTCTCATTCTTCCTTTTCTCAACCCTGTTTTTATTACTTTCTCTTTATTGCAAACATTTATAGATAGACCAAGATTGCAAGTATCACCTATTTTTCATTCACTTTACCAATTTTTGATGTTTTAAATTGGCTTCTTCTATTCCTTGCCAATTGTGCCTAACCTTGCACTAGGTTTCTGTAGAATTTTCAGATCACTTTGTTTAATACTCATCTAGTGCTTAAAAGTTCTCCCAGCCTAGTGCTGCAGGTTAACTTTATTATTGGTCTATCTGCTCTGTTTTTCAGGTAATAGAGATGGGAAAATTAATCCATAACAAGAGAATCCCAAAACCTCACTACCATCTCTTATGGAATAGGTAGTAAAAGACCTTTAATAGGAGTTCAGTGCATAAGAGAGTATTTTTAATTAAGACAATTTAAATGGTTTCCTTCTGCTTTTTAAATCCTGAATTTTTCAGTGCAGCCTTCCCACTGATCCCTCAGTGTGTATTTTATAACACAAATTTCCCCTTGTGTATTAATGCATATCTGATGCCATTAATAATACATGTGAATTTAGTGCCCTGTTTATGTTCTTCACATTTCCCTTTCTCACTGAGCACACCCACAAGCTCATCAGGCCCATTGGGCCTCTTGATACTCCTGGACCTGTGATTGCTTGCCAGTTCCCAGATTTGGGTGTGTCCTCCACAAGCATCCTGATTCCCTAATGGGGTAAGGCTTGCATGTGCATCAATCCAATCCACCCTTAAATACACAGCTTTGTCTCCTGAGATTTTGGAAATTTCAAGATCAGCTGCTCACCTTGGGCAACCACCATAGCTCCGGGACAAACAGAAGGACTTGGCTTTTACAGCATGTGGTTCAGCTTGGGAGTTCCCCATGGCAGGAGATCATGAATGCCAAAGTTTATGCAGGTTGCAGGCAGAGTCTGGACAAGATCATAGAAGAAAAAAAAAATCCAGTTAAATAGGCTCAGGAAGTGTCTGTACTGTAAATTGTAAGGACTGATAGGGCAGTAAATGATGTTTTCCCTCTTACACTCTCCTTAGACACCCATTTATAAATGTGAGCCATGATGTCCGTCCTTGATAAGACCAAAGGTCCTTCCCAAAAAAAAGTGGGCAAGGGGACTAAGAACCAAGATGCTGCAGAGAAATTAAGTCTTCAAGTGGAGTTAACAAATAGAAAAGCAAGGAAACAAAGGGTTAAGGGTTAAACAATGTGAAAGTAGGCTACTGCATGGGGATACTAAGTTCAGCAATTTTAAGCCATCATTCTCTGCTTCCTGAAAATACCCAAGACCCCTCAGTGGACATTGAATGTGGGCCCTTGGCTAAATGGACCTTGACCAGTATAGAATTAAAAATATCATTCATTATTTTAACTGTTCTTTTTAATTTTGGAAATTAAAGTTTTGGATGTTTTTATATAAGACAAATTTGGGTACTATATTTTATAAAACAATTAAGTATGTTTTATATTTTCAACAAAACGTTTTTACAGAATTGTGGTAGCAATTCTGCCACATATGAGATCAATTCATGTGAAAGTCCCTTGAGATCCAGGAAAATAATATAGTCAGTGAAATACATTATTGTTTGAGGAACTGTGTTCTACCATGATATTTATTGCAGGAACACGCAGACTTCCTCTGGCGTTCTGTTCTTGCACTGTTGTTATTGTTTCATTGTTATTTATTACTTACTTCACCATTTAAGCAGTTGCAACTACACAGCAGCAGCCTATTGTTCTGGGTGCTGCATGAAATATGATTATAAAATCAGAGGATGTGGAGTGATAAAGACAAACAAGAAACGTTGTTTAGCAACATCTCAACAAAGGAGTGTTATAAGGAGGGATGTAAATGAGATTACATAAATAGAGTTTTAGGGGTACTTGTAGGGTGCTTCACTCAGAGTGAAGGGCAGGGTGGGAGAAAGTGTGAAAACTTTTTCTTGAAGTTTAGCTATCAGAAGATGAATACTGAATGCTCCCTGGGGACAGGAACTGATCTCCTTGGACAGAATGAATTCTGATAGTCTGCCTGTAAATTGCCTTCTCGAAGGCCACAGAAGTAGCCCACGTTATTTAAAATATAGCATTAAAAGTTTCAATTACATCAATTATCTAGTATTTTGCCTAGAAGGCAGTGATGCTGACTTGTCCCCCTGCCCTCAGCCACATACCTACTCAGCTATGAAGTGGGAGGAAAAAAAAGAAAAAAGCTCCTCTCAATTGGTGCTGATAGCTTATATTTTGTGACCTGGCTTGATCCAAGTGCAGGGTGACCAGGTCATGGAGATGCTCTGGACAGTGTTTGAGACCACATTCTTGGTTCAGGTACTTTCAGCACAATCAGAAAAAACTATACCCTAAGTATCATAAAACAATCTACCTCCCAGAAACAGTAAGGAGCTAAAGGCAGTCCATGAAGAGAAAGATGCTTGAGGCTTCTGCCCAAGTTACAGGTGGGCTGAAGCTTGCAGTTGTTAACATCAAAAAATGAGATGGAATTAAAATGAAAATGTTTGGTTGAGCCCTGCTTAAATTTGAGCTCTCTATGAGGCAGGTAAGATTTCAGCTCGAGCCAGATGTGTGGGTGTCCTGCTGTTTGGGATGCAGCATGGGGCTGTGGCTATGGTGTTTTTAGCATGGGTCATGTTGTTGTAATGCTTCCTAATTGTAAAGCACAATTAAGATCCAGTCCTGCCTGCTTTAACCTGGAAGATAATTAGACATTTAGTGTAATAACTGGATGAGGAGACCATGCTTTCATAACTACCTGCTGCCACACCTGCCTTTGGCCGGATATTGCCCCATGGGAATATCGTGGCTGCCATCCCAAGCATGTTTGACAGCTGTTAATGTGTCATGGTGGAGGGGAGGGACCCAAGAGGTCCTGTTGTGATGCTGTGCTCTTGTATCCTGTGAGAGCCTAGCTGCTGCAGTTAGGTGTTGGTTAGGCTGACGTACAGGGTGGTGGGGTTTGCTCGCACGTGGCTGGCAGTGTGAGCCTTGGATGTGTGCATGCAAAGGCAGAGGGACATTGCAGTGAGACACCCCAGGCAGGGCACAGGATAGGCTGTGGAGTGCCATTTCTCACACACCTGCTTATACCTGGAGATGGTCAGGCAGAACACCAGCCTGATGTATAAAATAGGTTTCTGGGTGTTGTAAATGCCTCCCTCTTAACACCTGGAAAATAATTTACAAACAAGAGGTAATTAAGTTACAGAGGACTCTTCTGAAGAGCAAAAGGCATCACCAAATGCATTTTGCAGATGGGAAGAGGGAAGCACGCTTGCCTAGTGGCTGTCAGAAGTCTCCCAGAGAAAGTCAGAGATTAAATGAGAAGTCAGGGCTCTGCTGTCTGACAGGTAGTTATTTCTCAAAGGTAGATGATACAGTGCAGTAGCAGACAGTGACCCCTTAGAGACAAAAATAATTGATGCAGTTTCATAATACTACTGTGTTCTTTGCAACAGATGAAGTCAGAGCATGTGTTACTAATTGGGAAATGTCAATGAAATAAACTTTGTTTCACCAATAGACTTACTCATTTGGATCTTTCTGATCCTTCTCCTAGTGGTGACAAGAGCCAACAGCAATCTGTGCTAATATGGGTCTGGGCTTCCCAAGAGCCAAACGAGATTTTTGTAGGGACATTTCCTTACACATACAGAATTTTGGGAGTTATTAGAATTGTTAGAAGCTCAGCTGATTGCTATATGCTTTGATGGTTTTTTTAGAAATCATATATCTTAATATATAGGAAAACTATTTCGTCAGTCAAAGTCACTCTTCATTCAGAGTTACTCAGAAAAGATGACTTAAGCCTCAGAGAAATCAGGGGCAAAAAAAAAGGCTGATTTTGTTAATTCTTGAGTTACATATGGGGAGTCAGTAATGGGTCAAGTCAATTATTTTGGGTTTCCCAAAGTCAAGTCTGCCAGTAAAACTAAGTGTGACAAGACTAGGCCTATTCAGATGCTGTTCAGATGAAGGTGTGTCTGCTATGTGATGGCAGGAATGCTTGAGTACGTGGCATCACAAAAAGAGGAAATATAATTTTACTAATGAGATTGGCATTTATGGCAATGCTCCCCATGCTGTCTTTGGTATTTGTGTAGGTTGTCGTCCTTAACTAAGAGATCATTTTCTGTAGGGTGACCATCCCTGACTTTTGAGTGTGGGTCCACAAGATCATTAATCTAATGATTCATGCTTGCTTTTTTATTTCCTAATAATGATGACAAATCTATTTGCCAGTAGATTATTCTGACCTCAGAATGAAAGTGCTTGTTGATGATGCAAGCCCTGCAGACTGCTGCTAACCGCTCCTTCCTACCAAAAGCTCCTATGTGGAGTTCCGGTGGGAAGCCATACTTTATAACTGGCCACTTCAGCTGAGAAAGGAAAATAAAAACACTAAACCTGCCCTCCCTATATCTGGAAACATTAAAATTAATAGGTGAACTTTATGATCTGTACACGCCTCGAATGGAAACAGCAGAGCAATGCAATTTTGTGCGAAGAAGCAATGTCAGCTTGCTCTGTGCAGGGAACAACAGACAAGCTTCCACCCGTACATGAAGTGTTGCAAATACCTTTGCCACTCTGGCTGAGGCACAGAGATGCAGGTGAAAATAGTGACATTAAGCAATACCTTTTTTTAATATAGCTTTATTGTTGAAAATTCTGCCCCAATAGAGCTGCTTCTCAAAGCACGTCATCTGTCAAACTGTTCAACATTTCAATGCTTTTCTTATAATATTCACAGAAGATTAAATTCAATAATTTCATTCCCACAGGTAATTAATCTTCTTTTCTTGAAATTTTTTCTTTATACTTTCTTGAAAAACTGTTGCTGAGTGTTTCCTTTTTTAACTTTCATAAGGGAAGAAAGCAGACTGAAATCAGGTGCCTTGGTAGAAGATGTGCCTTCTGTGACAGAGATTTGGCTTCATGGAAACCTTGAATGCAACAAGCTCTTGCCTCCTCTGCACTGGCAGCCAGAGGTGCTAGAGGAAAGAAAGGGTGCTCAGAAAGTAGACAAGACAGAACTTACAGCCAGACTACTGTAGACATATAAAGGCATGTTCATGCTTACCTGTGGAAGCCCAGTGTGTAGGAGCTGGGCTCTGTCCATGTGCAGCCCCTGTCACAGCTGCTAATGTCCACAGTGGCCAGCCCTGTGAGGCCACTGTGTGTGTGCCCCTGTGTGTATAGATGGCTCTTCAGCAACACAACTGAGTATTTTGAATGTTTATTTTTTTTCCCCAGGACTTGAAAAAAAGTAGTTCTCAAAAAGAGTACACTGACAGGCTCTCACAATAGTAAAGCAATCTGGTTGTCTAGCAACAGCTCGATGGTACCTTAGCTAGTGCCAGGCCTGAATTCTGTGTATTGCTTTGGGTACAGAGCTTAAAAATGCCCACCTTACAGGGCACTAGATTGTTGCATTGGTCCATTGCTTTCCCTGTCTTTGACAGTAAGTCAGTCTGATTGCTATGTGAGCCTGAGCCTGCCAACAGCTTCAGTGCAGCACTTCCGCACCAAGACTGTCCAGAACAGCAAGAACCCAACATGGAACGAGACCTTCCACTTCACGATTCAGAGCCAGGTTAAGGTAAGCCTGCAGACACCTCCAATGGCTATTCTTACCAGATATCAAGCATATCACATAGTCCTTCAACTCTGCAGGGCTTTCTGAGATCCCTTGTGAAGTTTTCACACACTCTTACTGTACTTATTTAGATTTTGATGGTTTAGTAAGATTGTATCTGCCTGCATACTCAATAGAGTACACAGAGAGCAACTGCAATATCTGTTTTTTCATTCTTTCCCAAGGTTCTTCTGATAAAATGAAATATCTGTAGCATGTTATATTTGTTAAACATTTCATATTTATTTCTTTTTCTCCCCAGAACATTCTGGAGCTTAAAGTTTGTGATGAGGACAAAGTAACTGAAGATGACCATCTTCTCACTGTTTTCTTTGACGTCTCTAAAATCCAGCTTGGAGAAAACATTCAGCTAAGTTTCCAGCTGAATCCAAAGGTATGGATAAAATTCAAGGACAAAGCAAAGAGGGTGTGGTCAGGTGAGAATATGCTTTTGTGGAGAACACGCCAAGAGGGAGCAGGGGGGTGCAGCCACCAAGAGGCCCTGCAGTATGGATTCCATTTGTCCTGCAAGGCCTACACTAGGAGTCTGCTAAATGAGTGGATAAGATGCTAGGAATATATGAGACTAGAATTACAACAGATACTACATGAAGGAAATTAGGTCTGTGGCATGTGAAGCAACAAAAGGTGGACACTGGTTTATAGAGACCCCTGAAGGGCACAGTTTCCTGTAGGGTATCTCTCTCCACAGGAGACCAAGCTGTGGTGACAGCCTTAATTTTCTTTTGCAGGGAAAAGAGGAGCTGGAGGTTGAATTCACAATGGAAAGCAGGTGTGTAAGATGAAATAGCTGGAGGTGTAAGATGGAAACACAAGGGTACTGCTACAAATCAGTTCACACTTGCAGCGCCCTAACACTGCCAACATCTGAATGAAACAGAAGGTAACTTTGGGTAGAGTGTTTAATGTAGCAGGAGTGCATGATGGTGCATGGTATGCATGCATCTGCACTGGGCATCCAGACACACAGAGATGCAAGCACAGGTGCTAGTGGGAGCATAGAGATATCCCTGATGGCAGCTGCTCATCAAGCTGAAAGGCACTTTCTACATAGGAGGAAGTTTTAAGTTTCCCCTCTTGTTCTTTTCTGTGGGATCCCAGATTTTTGCTCTATAATAAAAAGGTGGGGGTTTTTTTATGTGTTTCTTTGCTGACTGTACAGTTAATGGAGAGAATAAACATGTAGATCAGTCCTTGTGCTGCTGATTTTTAAGGCAAATGGTAATTTTCCCCCCTTTTTTATGGCATGTTGGATGAATTCAGCAGCTTTTTAGCTCTGATTCTTCATGTTTGAACTGAACAATTTTGGACAACAGTGTGATTATGCCATCCCTGTGTAAATTGTCTTCAGTGTGTCAGAAAATAATCCTCTCTAGTACAGTGAGGAACTCCTCTGTTTGATGGATGTCCACAAATGTTGCAAAATTGAGACTAATCTGTGAGAGGCAAATTGGATTGAATATGCATGTGGAATTTCTGATTCTGTTTATCTCTGCTGCCTGTCCAAGGATGGACTTTATCCTTAAAAGATAATGAAATTATGCTTAAAGAAGAGTCAGAAAAAGAGAAAAATAAGAATGTGTTGGTTTTGAATTGATTGTTTTCCATTTTGTCTTTCAGTCCAGATCCTCCTGAAAACATTATTACTAACGGAGTTCTAGTGGTAATTTTTATTTCATAATCCTTTTCCCTTCTGTATAGGAATGCTTGTTGCAAAGCTGGTGTTAAAGGTACCAGGCCACTGTGGTGGCATGGAGGCATTGACCAAGACCAACACACAGTCTAAAGCTGGTGTTGGCATTGGCTGTCCCACATGGTCCCAGCTAGAGACTCGTGCTGGGAGAGGTTAAAGTGATGAAGACTCTGAGCTGCTGCCAGTGGTCACCTCTGCCTAAACTGGGCTGGGCTCAGGGGTATGATATCCCTCCCTCTCTCTGCCTGGGGAGAGCTGGGCACCCTGCCTGGAGAACCTTCTGCTGTGGCTGATCTTTCCCAGGCCCTTTCAGGGCCACTCCTGCAGGCAGAGCAAGCAGATCCCTGCTTTTTCCTCATCTCTATGCATTTTCCACGGGGAAGTCCAATCCCATCTCACTAGACCTGATAGTGGCCTTACAGGCTGGCACCATCCCTCCCCTGAGGTCTATGCCCCAAGGCCTTGTAAGCATGTGCCCAGTGGACTGGATGAGGTCGAGCTCTGCTGACAGTGAGTGCCCTTGTCTCTTGCCACGTTGTCTCTTACAGTCCCGTGAGGTTTCCTGTTTGGACGTGCAGGTGAACGATGGGAGGCTGAGGAAGGACGCTATGGGTGAGCCTTTCACTGACTTACAGAGCAAATCAGGTTGCCACTCAATGGCAGAAGCACTCCGTGTTTCACACTTGAGCATGCTGGTTTTAAAATTATTTAGGATAAAAGACAAAATCTCACTGATGCCAGTGGCCTGTGGAGGTGGTTGTAGTTGATCAAAAATATACAGATTATTCCTGAATTTGGTGACATGAGCATGTGGTCTAATTTTCCCACAAAATATTTACCTCTGCAGCGACATCTTGCCAGATATTTACAATTTTCCAAAGCAGTTGTGCAAGGAATTGAGGTTTTTTGGGTTCTTAACTTGAAGCTAACTCCTGTTGTCTCGGGATTCTGGGACAAAGTAATGGGCAGAATGAGAATTGGGCCTCATTCACCACCTAACTTCATAGAATTTCATTAGGTATAACAATATAAGACATGCCACTGGGTGAAACACAAGACACAGTATACTAACGAAGACATTTGCTGCACACAAAGCAGTGCATCACTGCCGTGTCAAGCCCATACTTGTGGAACTGTGTGCCTCCTACACAATTTTTAAAGTATCTTCTGATATCTCATGATGACCCGAATCCAGCACACTCCTTAAGCACCTGGATGATCCAGTTGATCTCAGAGAAAAATTTGCTAGATGTGACTGAAAATGTTTGAGTGAGGTAATTCTTTTGAAGGCTGACTATGTACTTTGGAGTGTGTAGGTTTACAGAATATATTTCATCTTGAACCTCATGGGTTGATATCTTTCTACATAAAGGCCATTTTTTCTTATTTCAACAGACATATCAGGTGCTTTTTGCATGAATGGAAAAAACCACCAGACATTATTTAAGTGCTAGAAATATTTCAAAAGAAATATTACAGGTTGAAGGAAAGAGAAGCATGATAGAGGGACTGAGATTTAACTGATACCAAAGAGAGCTGTGGTCTGATTAAAAAAAAAAAAAGTGTTTCTCCCAAAGGTCCAAAATTTTCAAAGTATCTCAGCAATAAGGCAATATGTAATATTCAAGCATTATTCTGGTGTAATAATAAGGTATTTTGTACATTTCAGACTTTCAGAAGAGAGTGTCCCCCCAAACTATTATTGGCTGTGAATCATTACCTAATGAACAGAGCAGTAGTTTCTGCTCTAACATATATATCGAAGTGCAGTGTGGCTATAGCAACAGTCACTATATGGCATGTTCTATAGACCATCTCTAAAACTGCAACCCTCAGATAAACCAATCTGTTTGTTTTTCCTATGATTTGGGTATCAGATTGACATTGTTACTTTAGGAAAATATATATTACATTAATGCGCAAAAAAATTATACACATTTTTTGAAGAGCTTAAGTTTGAACACTTTTGCTTCAGAGAGGAAGTTTGCATTAACTGTGGACGGGTCGTATGAAGGAACCCAGACGCACACGCTGAGCTCCTGCCTGTGCCCGACGTCCCCAGCCAGGTTCCACTACATCAAGTACAACCAGTCGGCGCTCACTGTGGCTCTGCCGCGGCGCAGACGGCTCAGCAGGGTATGTGAGCACCACTAACATGCAGCTCTTTCACTGGGGACCTTCAAGACCCGAGTGTGTGTGCTGGGAATTGGTTAGTGCATGTATGTGAGAGAGGGGAGACTGCTTTTACCTCTTTTACCTTTTTCGTCTTTTTTTTTTTTTTTTTTTTTTTTTTTTTTTTTCTAGAATTGGTAACTTGTTTATTCTTTGTCTTACCCTTTTTTTCAGTCTATTTCAAGCCAAAATGAAAGGGATATGAACGAATCTGTGACTCTACCTCTGAACTCGCTTCCTATACAAGAGCAAATAGCAATAGGAGAGGTGAGAACAAGTCTTTCTTAACAGAAAACAGGCCAACACCATTCAGTGATTCAGTTCCTGTCAGACATGGAGCATGCTATGGCGTAAGGTGTGAATGACAGTCGCTCTGCAACTATGCAATAGTTACTTTTTCTTCTGTTTTGCAGTGGATCCAGGCATGCCCTGTGAAACCCTGTTCTGAGTTTAAACTAACTTCCTCAGGACATGTCTAATATGTATGTTCATCAACATAGTATGCACCCTAACAGTAATGGATATAACAGTTAGGACTGATATTTGCAAAGTGAATGCCTTAAGTAGAAGATAAAAGAGATCATCCATATGTGTACGGTTCAGATGCCCAGCTTTCAACAACCTGCCCAAAAAATGAATGTTAAACGATGAGAAGCTATGGGGCCCTAAGCCCACCTAGCTTGGGTGAATGGCTTACTTTTATTCAACCCAGACTGTGCTGGAACTTGTGACGGTCTCTCACAGTCCAGACCATTGCTGGCCAGATTCTCCAGCCACGTTGCTGAATTCAAAGATAGTGAAACTCAGGCCCTAAATGGAGTGGGAGAGGGAGGTGCAGGACTAACAACCTGAGCATGCTTACACTGTTTGTATTGCGATTTTCAGGACAGGACAATTGACTTGTACGCAAAGGCAAGTGAATGGTAAGTGTGCCTCCAGCAAGACCTGATTCTGTAACTGGGGGGCGTCTGTTCCTGCACAAAGTTCATCTGAAGTCAGCAGGGGTCGATGCAGGCTCAGATGGGAGAAGATGTGTGAGTTCATTATGGGTTGTAGGCTTTTATTTGTGAGGGTCTCCTTTTTAATTGATGGCAAATTAAATCATGGGTCCCCTGTCCTCCAAATTTCCAAGCTTCTAGTGCATCTCGGCAATAGGTCTTGATTTGTGTGCACTATTGTGCCCATGGATGGAGAAATCACATTTCTGAATTATTCAAACAAAATAACTTCAAGGCATGGTAGCTGTTTCTCTAATCTCACAGCTGCAGCCTGTTAACAGCAGTTATCTAGTTACAGGATGCATGGCAGCACTACTGAAACTTGAAAAATTAACTATATGAGCAAATAAAACCAGAAGTCTGGTACCATAATGGACAGTGTGTCATGATTTGCACTCCCTTCCTATTTTGCATTCTCATTTTCAGCTACAGCAGTTAGCAAAGGCCTGTCTATGGTGTTGGTTTTTCCCATTTATTCCTTTATAATGTCCACAAACTGGTCTGTAAACACACATAAGCACAGCTGGAGTTGTCCACAGTGACTAATAATACAATACCTGTGCCCTGGTCTCAGGACTCAGGGTCTGTGTTTCAGACCAAGAAACCTTGATGCCCGCCTGGGGTTTGACCTCTGCACAGATGAACAGAATTTCCTGCAAAACCGAAAGAAAGTAGTTGCTGCTGCGCTAAAGGATGTTCTTCATCTGGAGGAAGATCTGCAAGAGCATGAGGTAACCAATTAAGGGCATTTTGGAGGGATTTTTCTCTCTCCTTTCCCTCAAGCCTGGAGATGAGGGATGATTTTTTTACCTCCATCTGGATAAGGAGTGAGGACTGTTAACATCAGCTCATCCTCCAGGGCACTTTGCCACCAGTGTGATCTCAGCTGGAGAGTTCAACTGTCCGTTTAGATGAGCAAAATCTCTGTTTCCACTCAGCTTACAAGTCAGTTATTTGAAGGCATTTCAAATCAATAGTTTGGTCTGTGTTTCTTAAAAATCGTCTCTGAAGTGCCAAGACCTAGTTTATTCCATGGGGATGTACAGTAAAAAGAAATGTGGCTTTATCTCTTAATTTATGTGTTTTATCTTACTAGTGTCTGGATGCTGCTTTTGCATTTCTGTAATCTTTTGACATTATTTGTGCCTTAATGCCACTCTTTTGTCTATGCTTTCTGCTCTTTTTTTTTGTCAAACAGGTGCCTATAGTGGCTGTGACCACAGCAGGGTGTGGCATAAGAGCACTCACTGCCATGTATGGCAGCATTTTGGGTCTCCAAAAGTTGCGTGTTCTGGATTGTGTTTCATACATCAGTGGTTCATCTGGCACAACATGGTGAGGAGTCATTTTGATGCTGTTGTTTGGATCTTAGTGTGTTAAGAAAAGCCTATGTTCTGTCTTGGTTTCAGAAAGGATAAAAGTGATCAATTGAGTTATTGCTTCCATCTTTGGGCTATGGATCACCTATGACAGAATTAACCAAAAGAGGAGACTTTATTAAACATCCTTAATCCTATGGAAAATGATCTTTCATTGTTTTTTACTGTTTGACAGAAACAGTATTGACAGCTGTGTTGTGTTGCATCTCAGATTAAGTGATTTTTTCTGGTTGCCTTTAGACTTTAATTTCTGCTCAAAGTAAACTCAAAGAGATGAGTAACTGAAAGATTAAATGATACTCCTCCAAAACTCTACAGGCTTTTCTCTGAGTTTCAAAAGCATCTTGTTAATTTCTCCCTGCATTCCATCATGTTTCCCATCTACAGGACAATGACAAAGCTATATGAAGATGCTGACTGGTCACGTAAGGATCTTGGGGAAGTAATTATTGAAGCACGGAAGCAAGCAGCCAAGTGCAAGATGGGGGCTTTTTGCTTGAAAAGTCTGAGGAATTATTACAGAGAGCTGAGCCAAAGGACCCAAGCAGGACATAAAACCTCTTTTATTGATCTGTGGGGGCTCATGATTGAAGCCATGTTAAATGATGGGGTAATGTCTATACATCTTTCTTCTCATAAAGTTGTTGACTTAGTATTTACAACCATTGCAAGAAACTAGAGCCCTAGGAAGAGACACCTGGTCAGTAACACTGTACTTGGTGTATAGGCAGAACACCACTTATTTACATTCATAACTTGGAGACAGAGTGTATGTCTACACTGGAGGCTGAAGTGTGATTGAATGTACCAGAAATACTCAGACTTGCTCCAAAGTAAGCAGAATGCTGATTAACACTACTGCTGTGCAAGACATTTTTAAGGTTCTTAGGTGTTTTTTATGGCCTTATGCTTCTATCTCTCCATTATTTGTACAAGCTGCACTCTTAATTTGAATGTACTGCAGATGTACCCATTATGTCCAGCAGTTTGTGACTTAGTGATAAGAAAGTATATAGATTCAGAGCTGGTGAGATATATTAGCTACAGTGGGTGCCTTTCAGCTCTTTTGAATTTGATCTCCCAGCATCTTAAATTTCTAATTTTTTTGTAATGACACAAGCAAAAACTTTCCAAACTTTCTCCAAACTGATGATAGCTGAAAAAAAAGTTATTTTATTTCAAAATTCTGTAAACATTGTTTACTTTTTGTCTAGATGAAACAGATAAAATTAAATACTCTCATATCATATTCCACAAAGTGTTTCCAGCCTCAGTGCTACATAACAAAATTTGGTAGAATTTAATTTGGCTGAAGTATACTCAAAACCTCCATTTCATGTATAAGTTGTTAGTATTGGACAGCTCAAGGACTTTTCCTCTCTGGATTTTAATTTTTGATATAGTATTTTAAAAAAGAAATCTTGATCATCTTAACATGTTAACATGCTGCCTTGAAGAACTCTTATCATTAAGAGATGAAGTATATGATAACAGCTGAATTACCCGGATATGCTATATATTCTAACTTACATTTAACCATGCAAAGCTAGAACAGAATGTGAAGTGGTTAACTGCTGTCATTGTTTACTGAAAGCTGAACATAGCTGGTTATCTTAACAGAAATTGTTCCTGCTTTTTCTTGTCCTCTGTTATTCAAGCATATGGAAGTAACTTTAGGAGCAAATTCAGAAAAATGATGTCTTAGTCTTTTTAAGCTGATGTTTTTAAGGAACTGATTATAAGCTAACTCTTTGAGCTTTTTTTCAAATTCAGAAAACCCACCACAGACTTTCTGATCAACGTCAGGCAGTGAACCAAGGTCAGAACCCGCTGCCCATCTACCTTGCCCTTAATGTCAAGGACAAAGTTGCCACCAAAGATTTTAGAGGTAATGTTTCAATTGTGAAAAAGAGCTATATTTTCACCCAGGGAGATACACTGTGGGGATATAGTAAATAATGAAGAATTGTTTTAAATTCTCACTCCAAGCCCAGAGAAGCAGAGCTCAGAAATGTAAAGAGTAACTGGACAGGCACATGATACACGTCAAGAATTCAATATTTTGTAAGATCTCTTGGCATGTGATTGTGTATTTTCAGGTATTAACTTCGGAACATAATTCTGTGACAAAGTCTCAGAAATTATATGAATTCTTCAAGAAAGTGATTCACTAGAGCTTTAAGTTTGCTTAATGTGTGTTCTGGTCCAAGATGGCAGTTGGAACTGTATGATCTTTAAATGCCTTCCCATCCAAACCATTCTCATACTTTGTTTTTCATAGTTGGCTAAAGGCAATAGAAGTCATTGTGAGTTCTAGTTCACCTTCCATGAGAAAACTTTGGTTTTTCACTAGATAAAAAGAAGAATAATTTGAATTTTCTCCAGCCCTAACATAGTTATTTCACAGGCCTGGGGACAGTGTGATAGCTGGTTCAGCAGTGTTTGCTCAGGCAGGGTATTGGCAGGGTTTGCTCAGGACACATGTTAAGCCAGTTTTCTTTTGAGAGCCATTGTCTAAGAGGCTTATTCCAAACGTGGCAACTGGACTATTTACTATAGTGGAGCTAACCTTGGTGCATATGTTGGCAGAGTGGGTGGAGTTCACGCCGTACGAGGTGGGCTTCCTGAAATATGGTGCCTTCATTCGTGCGGAGGATTTTGGCAGTGAGTTCTTCATGGGTCGCCTGATGAAGAAACTCCCTGAGTCACGAATCTGCTTCATGCAAGGTAACTCACCAACCTGGGGGAGTGACAAGATTTTAATAGAAACATCAATGATTCAGGAATTCATCCCCAGAAACTTGTTAGCATGAGGCAGCAGAGGCACTGGGTCAGTCAGCTGACAGGCTCCCCTGGGAAGTGGTCACAGCACCAAGCCTGCCTGAGCTCAAAAAGAGTTTGGACAATGTTCTCAGGAACAGGGTGTGATTCTTGGGGTTGTCCTGGGCCAGGAGCTGGGCTTGACGATCCTTGCAGATCTCTTCCAACTCAGGATATTATATGATTCTATGTTTCCTGACACTCATTCAGCTGCCCTTGCCAGCAAAGTGGGCTTATCATTTGGTCTATGATAAAAGTAAACTAAAACGGCAAATAAGTTTGTCATGTAACTTTGTGAGTGTTTTTGAGGCATCATAATTTCCTGTAGCTTGCAAAAGCTTTTCAAAGTTGGAAATCTATGATACTATGTGGAAGTCAAATAAAATGTTGAAAATAAATCAGTGGAGTGAGAAGGAGGAGAACAAGAGAAGGAGCTGGCTGAAAATATTTCTTTATCAAAGGAAAAAGGAAATGAAAATAGAAACATAAAAACTGACTACAAAATTTAAAAAAAAAAAGTTCCAGGTAAAACATGGTGAGAGGAAAAGACTTGGAATTTTTTTCTGAAATGTTTGCCTAGATAGGTTTGTCTTTGGAGTCTACTACTGAAACAGATGTCTGAACTTATGCAAAAATTGGATAGAAATTTGAACGAGTTAGAGAAGAACTGGGGAAGGAGCAGAAGGCAGTTTTAAAAGAACTTGTGTTTACGTCTGCATTGCTTATTATACCTCTCCTATTTTCTAGGAATGTGGAGTAGTATCTTCTCCAAAAATCTCTTGGATGCCTGGCATGCAGCTGACAATTCAGAAGACTTCTGGCACAGGTGGACCCAAGACAAAGTGACTGAAATAGGTAAACCAAAATACCTTCCTCCAGACCCCTCTGATAGGGTAACTGCACTCACATTTCTCATTTTTTGAGCTTTTATGTCATCTTGTTTCTCTCAGTCTCTGGGTATGGGACATACCAGAAAAATGAAGTTATTTGATTTTATTGAATAGTGAGTGCTTTGCTTAAATAATGAGACTGTGACTAGAAGGAAAGGCACTATCAGACAGTCCTTGATATAAAGGAGATAGGGATGGACACATATGTGTCTAAAGTGTTGTCCTTAAAAGGCTGGGAAAGAAATACTTCTGTCAAAGCCTCACATCATCTATTTGTTAGCAGGAAAGAAGATTGATTGTTTCTGTTTCAATAGCTTCTTGCCCTGCATAGCACAACCCTCCCTCAAAACCTGACTAAATTGAAAGACTTAGTAGACATCAAACAAGGTCAATGTGGTGAAGCTCTTACACCAGGTGAGAGAAGCAGCTCCATACTAAAGACGATTCCTTGGAAATAGTCATGAGCATCTTCATGACAAAATTCAAGCAAAGCCAGTGAATAGACTTGGGCCACATTTCTGTGGACTATATTTTCATTAAAAAACCCCCAAAGTCTTATGTTTGAGTTTATATAAATAATTTGCAAGTTTTGTTGAATTCAGGTGACCACAACTGCAGCAAATAGAACAATCTAGCTTTTAAAAGTAAAAATATTTAGTTTGAAAGTAAAGGGCTGTAATTTTTCTATGCTTTTCAAAATAAGCTTTAAATGTGATATTTAAACTATATAGAACGTAAAAGCAGTAATCCCTTAAAATGCGTTAATAAAATTATTTTCCCTGTTTGTTGTTTGCTTGGAAAAGTAAATTACTTCAGTGTGTATCAAAATCATACTGTTTATGAGAAAAATATTCTTTTAGTCATGTGTGTAACCAGCCAGAGTTTAGAAAACACAAGTTTATACTTTCATCATGAAATTAACTGGAACTCACAGCAGATCATAAGGAAAATAATGCAATGCTGAGCTGTGAACACATGATTACAGAAGACCCATTGACCTTTTCTCCTCTTTGTGTCTTGCTCTGCTTAATTATGGTTATAATTCAGCTTCATGCCATTTATGCTGTGTATCTCTAGAGGAACAACCAGACCTGCCTGAGAAGCCATATGAGATGGCTACGTGCGTTTTCACTCCTACCAGCGGCCTCTCCACGACGCTCCGGGACATCCTGACGGATCGCCCCGCTGTCTCCAAGTACCACAACTTCCTAAGGGGCTTCCAGATGCACAACGAGTACATCCAGCATGAACACTTCACAAAATGGAAAGGTGTGAATGGCTCTCCTGCCTACATATCTCCTTGGGGCAGGCACAGGGGCTGGGAATTAGCGAGGGATGTTTGCATGTCCTGAAGAGAACGGAGTGGGTTTTGTGGTTACCTGTTAGTGCTCACTGAGAGCAGGGAGAATGAAGGAACTCCTCACACCTTTCACTTTCAGTAACACAATTGTTCAATTATTTAGTCACTGGGTACTTGAAGTCCTCACAGGAATAAAAATTCCTAGGGTGGGGCTCTGCATATAAGTCAACATCTATGTAGGTTTCAGTGCAGTTTATGGGTTTAGAAGCACAACAAAATGTGAGTGGAGAGACCGAAGGAGCTTTGGGATTAGTGCATGCTACCTATCTCAAAGCAAAGGGAAAATCCTGGATGGGAGAGAAGCTCACCTTGCTTTTGCCTTCTAACTTGACAGATGTCTTTTTGCAGTTTGCTAATAGTTCTGAATCTTCCACTCTTTAGACACCTTGCTCGACAACTCTCCCAATGACCTGAGAGACAACTCGGAACACCTGGAGCTGGTGGATGCAGCTTTCTTCTTTGAAACCAGTTACCCACCCCTTATGAGACCAGAGCGGAAAGTGGATGTCATCATACACTTAAATTACACAGGTGGATCACAGACATTGGTAAGAAGTCTCACAACTGGTTTTCTTTCACAACAGCTTTTGCTTTGCTTTCCACTACTTTCAAACAGGTGTCTGTGAAACATGGAACTTAGTGGAATTTAGTAACATGCTGTTTTCAAACCTTAGAAGAAGAATGGAAATTTCTAGAGAGAAAATATGTGTATTTTTCTCAAATTACTTTTGAAATATCCCTAAGTTCTTCACCAGTAAAATACAGACAGGCAAAGTGAAGTTTAAAAAGTCTAGCTGCAATGTCTATTATAGTCTTACATATAATATTTAACAGCACAAATATAGTTGGGAAAGTTTTGTGATTCAAGTGCTGAATTTAATCTGCATTTTGCTTATAAATATATGACTTTTTTTTTTTATCTTAATGTTGATTTTCTAGCAAGAACAGCCTAGTGAATAATGGATTTCTTCATCTCTATTTTTATCTCTTTTAATAAATACATTTTTTCTCCCTAAATAGTGGAGTTGAAGTGAGGTATCACTTGCATTTACTGCTCTTGCAGGTATCTAATTTGGTTATATACTCACTCAGTTATCATTTAATTAATGGTCTATAAAGTGATTTGAATTTATCTGTTCTGTTTCTACATCATATTCTAATTTTAGAGATGTGCCTTAGTACAGATTTAAACTCTCCTTGCCATCTTGATATTAGGTGTTTTCCTGGAAGACTAGTTCCAAATGGTTCCCCAGGCAACTGAAAAGCAGTCCTTGGGGCTGCAGGTGTCCATATTATTTCTGCTGTCTGATTCTCAGTCTGTTTTGTGCAACTTTGCATGAACTGCTGGGCTTTGGCAGCAGTCTGATCTTTGTTATCTTTTCTGTTCCTTGTGCTGCTGCTGCTGCTGACCAGCCCCTGGAGCAGGCTTGCAAATACTTTGCAGAGCAGGAAATTCCATTTCCCTGCATTGGACTGACAGATGATGAGAAGAACCTGAAAGAGTGCTACATGTTTGATGGTGCAGACACCCCAGGAGCTCCTCTGCTGCTTTATTTTCCATTAGTGAATGACACTTTTCAAAGATACGTAGCACCTGGTAAGTTAACAGTACCCAGGTAACTTTATTGACTCAAGGAACATTCCCACTCCCCGGGTGTTTTTCCCTCAACCCAATAGAGCCTCCCTTTGTTTGCTTGTTCAAACTAGTGAATAGATTGCAAAATGGGATGATTCAAACTGTTGGCAAAATCTGGTGAAGTCTTGTGCATATTTTTGTCTTGGTGCAATTCAAGGAATAGAAGAAATGTGTTCCTCAACTAGAGGAATGGAAACTAATCTCCTCTTGTAATTTACTTTAGTGAATAGAACAAAGTACATTTTTCAAATTATGTATGGTTTTATGTCACTCAGATCTAGGCGAGAATCACAGTATAGAATGGTTCTGTCAAGGGCCACTGTGCCTTCTATTTAGGCCATTTAATATGCTGGTTCAATCTGCTGGAATATCAAAGCAATCGTACATAAAGTGTCCTTCTGAATTAGAATTTGAGATGGAGACTTTGCTTTTAAGATGATTCCGAGCCAACGAATATTCTCCTTCCTCTTGTCCCATATATCTCTATTCCTTTTAGTTTGTGTTGTACCAAAGAACGTGCCTGGTAAGCTTTGAGCAGTGGTGACCTCACAAAATGATGTGCCACGAGCTGGTCAGTAGATGGTGCTGGTTGCAATGGAAATGACATTTGTTTTATTCCAATAGGCTTTGTTCAGAAGCAGATTTCTCAGAAATCATAGCATTGCACTTATCTTCATAGTAATTGCATCTATGATCTCTCCAGGTTATTACTGGCCTATCAAAGTATGGTATTTCTGTGGGACTATACAAATACATTCCTTTTTTTCCCTTGACAGGCATGTTACGTACCGCTGCTGAAATGGAACAGGGCAAGGTTGATATCTCCAGTTTCTCCTCTCCATACTCAACCAGGGAGGTCTCGCTGAAAGCAGAAGATTTCAACAAGCTTCTGAAGCTGGCTAATTACAACATAATGAACAACGAGAACATGATTCTTCAGGCCTTGCGCATGGCTGTGGCAAGGAAGAAACAAGCCCTGAGCCAGCCAGCATCACAGGCACAGCCCTCTGCTTGAACAGCATTTCCCTGTCCCTTACTAAGCATTTGCCAAGACAGCATACATGTGATAAATACTTCATTCTTGACAGGGGCCATAGCTTTCTAAGTAACCTTCTCAATCTCATCCAGAATTGTGGTATTAAACTCAGCAGTTTCTGTTGTTAATACCATCTCACTCTGATATTCAAAAGATGAAGATTCAGCTGTGTGTGATAGGGAAATAGCATTAGCTCTCCTTGTCTGCAATCTCTTATGGTCTTGGTGGCTAGTTGCTAATATTTTTTCATATGCAAAATATTTTGGCATTTCATTGGGACTATTGGTAGCAAAACCATAAAGCCCTCTTCAGACACAAAAGGTGGTTGCCATGCAGCATCAATTTAGAACATTTTACTTAGCTTTAATAACCTGAATGAAATGGACTTCTACTGTTAGAGAGTTTTGTTTCCCAGGTGCTTCTTTTTGGTCATGAATTGTCATGAAATAAATATTTTATGAAGGATGTTAATTTTTCAAATTTGTGTTGGACAACAGAGATATGGATCAGTGGCCATTTAGGTCTTTGATCATCTATTCTTATCAATTAAATCAAACTTAGAAATTTGATTTGAAGGACTATTGCTATTTCCTCTCACAACCAACTGTGTCCTGTCTCAGATCACATATATGTTCTGCAGTTATCTTCCCGAAATGCAATTTTGCTTTAGCATCATCTGGAACTTGTTCAGTATAGTGTATTGAACTATTATGAAATCAGAGAGCATGTGAAGGGGATTTCAGGAAGCATGGTAATTGAACACTGGAGACATGCAGTAAGATACCAATTTTCTGTTCACTGCATCACAGTGTATCCCATACTTAAACACACTTAAGGCCAAGAAAAGTCCAGCAGAGACAGATGTGGAGCTTCTGTTTCTGGTGAATTCTTCCTTAGAGGTAACTGGAGCGAGACAGGTATTCTTTTCTAGATCTGGAGCTGGTTAAGAAGTTATTTTTTACTGGTTTTACATAAAGAAGCATTGTGAAAGAAAGGCAGATGCTGATGTCTAGGAGTTTCTCAAGGGTCAGCCAAGATGAGCCTTACAGGAGTTCCTCAGAGCCTAAACAAGCAAGCAAGAGCTACAGAAGAGTATCTGCTTTCCACAAATTCTCCAACAAGTACATAGATAATTTCTGCCTTATATTCTAAAATCCTGCTCACTGTTTTATTTGAGCACCCACTCATGAGCTCAAAATAAGATACCTGACCTGTCAAAATTGGTATCATGACTGACTCCTTAATGCCTGCCAGGGAGGATATCATTATATTTGTCAATATATATGACTCCATGACTGCAAAGTTCTGGGCATTTCAGCAGCTTTGTAAATTCTGCAGGCTCTGAGGAACTCCGGTGCAGTTTCAATTCTTAATGGTTGTTCCTTTTTGGAAATATTTTTGTCAGGATTAGATATTCTGATTTTGCCTGTGAACTTTTTCAGTAATGGTGAGCACATGCTCCTACCTGCTTTTACCAGCCTCAGACTGGTTGGAAAATGCATATTCCCAAGATGACGGAAACAGCTCTCTGTAGATGTCTCACATAGCCTGCTTTACCTTTTCTACGTCCCATCTCAGAATCTGTGATGCACCCTAAAATCTCAGATGATCTGAAGGAAACCAGAAAAGGTAGCTTCTCAGCCACTGGCATGGTGTCTCATATGTTCACACTAGTTTTGTCTCAAATGCCAGTTCCGGCACTACTACTAGATTTTTTTCAAGCAGAGGAACTTGACAGCGAATGTCTGGGATGGGTTCTCTCCAGCTCCATGCCCTGCAGCACTTCCTGTGGAGGAAATTCCTGCAGAGAGAACCCTTGGGTAGGAGAGGTGACAGAGGCCTAGGAGACTGGGCCATCGTTTCCCTTCCTGGTACTAAGCTGAGCTAGTGAACACATTTTTTGTGGGTAAGACACCCCTTTTTGTATACTTTTGTTATTAATATTTCTGCAGTTACTGTGTGTTTCTTGTCCCACTGTTTTTTGCTTTCAGTAAATTGTTATCTCAACCTATAAATCTCGCCTTTTTCCCTCCCTTACCGGATGGGAGAGGGGGAGAGGGGGTGGCTTATTTGGAGTTTAATTTCTGGCTGGTGTTACACCACCGGGGTGGTCCCGTCATTCCCTGCCTCGGCGGAACAGTGCTGTGTTAGCTCTGCATGGCCAGGTTCTGGTAGCAGAGGCCCACAAGGGTGGCCAGTGTGAGAAGGTGCCAGAAGCTTCCCCCATCTCCTGCAGAGTCAATGCCAGCTGGCTCCAAGGCTCACCCACCTCCGGCCAGGGCCGAGCTCATCAGCAGCAGTTGTACTGCCTCCAGGATGATGTGTTTAAAAACAGGAAAAAACCCTGTGCAACATCAACTGCAGTGGGAGAGAGGAATGAGAACACGTGAGAAACAGGCCTGCAGATACGAATGTCACTGAAGGAGGAGGTGCTCTAACTTTGGAGCTGAGATTCCCCTGATCCTATGCTAAACAATTGTTTAATAGCTATTTAACTGGCTGTTCAATTACCATGGTGGGGCAGGCTGTCCTTCTCAGTCCTTGCTGGCCCATGGTAGAGCAGATATTCACCTGCAACGCCTGGAGAAACCCACATGGAGCAAGTGGATGCCTGAAGGAGGATGTGACACTGGGAAGTCTGTGAAGGAGCAGATCCTGTGGCCCATGGAAAAAGGAGACCACACTGGAGGTTTGCTGGCAGGGACCCACGCTGGAGGGGTGTGTTTCTGTGGGACTGCACCCCAATGGAAAGGACCCACACTGGAGCAGTTTGTGATGAACTGCTGCCTCTGGGAAGGACTCAGGCTGGAGAAGTTCCTGGAGGACTGTTTTCTGTGGAAGAGACCCCACAATGGAGAAAGTGAAGCTGCTGGGGTGGAGGAGGTACTGAAAATCATGAGCAAAGTAAAGCCCAAGAAGGGAGGGGTGGGGAAAAAAGTGTCTTACAATTTAAGTTTTATTTCTGATTATCCTATTCTGATTTGATTTGTAATAAATTAGACTGACTTCCCCAAGTTGAGTCTGTTTTGCCTTGATGATAATTGGTGAGTGATCTCTCCCTGCCCTTAACTCAATCCATTTGCCTTTCATTAAGTTTTCCCTCCCCTGTCCAGCTGAAAAGGATGGGGTGCATGATAAAGTGATGTTGGTGGGGACCTGCTAGCCAGCCAATATCAAACCACCACAGCTTCTCAGTGTTGCTTGGTTGTGTTTTGTTGGGGTTTGGAGTTTTTTTTTTTTTTTTTTTTTTTGGCTTTTTTTTTTTTTTTTTTTGGGTTTTTTTTTTTTTTGGTGGGGGGAGGGGGTGTTGAGGGGAAGGATTTACCTGAGGGGAAAACATATTTTTCCATAAACTGGGTATTAACAGGTGCTCCTGCCCTCTCATCATCTTCATGTTCTTCCTCTGGAGTTGCTTCAACAGATCCATACCTTTCCAGTGCTGGGGCTCCAGAGCTGGGCACAGCACTGTAGGTGAGGTCTCACAAGAGCAGAGTAGAGGGGCAGAATCCCCTCCTTCAACCTGTTGGCCACACTTCTTTTGAAGCTTTTGCATCTCTTTAATTGAAAGGTTATTGAGGATAGATCCCTAATCGTAAAATGGTTGCTTACTTAAGTACTTTTCATTCAGAAAAAAGTTGTAAGGTCAGAAATGACTCTATTGTGTATTTTCCTGGCTTGTGAGAGTGAAAAGGGAAGACAGGTTGTGGCTGCTCTGAGCGTATAGTATCACCTCCTGCAGTTCTGAAGAGGTGATTTCATATAAGATGTTTGGGCATATTAGCAGCTGGACCCATACAATGGCTATTAATCTGCTGCTGCACAATTTTCTGCCAGAAATTTGAAGACTTTGGTGTCATTTTTACATCGCAATTGGATGACACTGCATTGTGTTTAAAATATCAAGATGTTAACATTTAAGATGAGTCAATGTGTGCCTTGAACTTTTGTGTTTGTGGAAGTCTTCTGAAAGCAGGAAAATTTATATCCCACTAACAAATATGCAAATTAAATTGGGGAAATATCTACCAGTAAGCAATTTCAGGCCCTCTATCTCCAAGAAAAGGAAAATAAATATAATTTCGTTGAAGAAAAGGCCTTCTAGAGTTATTTCATTTGTGATACTTTTGTTTGCTGATTGGGGTGCTGTGTGTCTACATGTAGCTACTATTATCTTCTCTGGTTTGTTAATTGCTGAGGCTTCTAGAACATAGATATCCATGCATAAGCACTGTGTGTTATCACCCCCTTATCTTGAATTGCTGATAACTCTTGGCACCTTGGTGTGTACAGCCTTCCCCAAACACACACCCCTGGTATTTAGCTATCAAATAAACCCAGCAAACTCCCTCCCCTTTTCTTCTCATACTTTCCCTTCCATGCAATGAGGAAGGTGGGGCTTGGATATACCACTTTCTCCTCAGCAGGTGCCTCCTTAAATTTTGCAGAGGTAGTTTGTGAATCACAGCTGTTGCCTCTGACAGTGAAGTGACAATCCATCTCTGACTTTTATGCAGCTGGGAGCAGGATGGGCTCATACTGGAGTGCTCGTGAGGTAAGGGTGTGAAAGCTGTAGGAACTAAAATGGCCTGGGGTGTGTTTGTGGCTGGAATTCTGGTCAGGACAAGAGGACTTGTGAGCTTTTATTTCTAGTTTCATGCACATATTTATGTAAGGATGACTTATGCCTTTGCTGATATTAGTTGCCTTGTGGAAGCAGTCTTGGTAATGAAGTTCAGCCACAGTGGATGATTGACATAGAGGCTGGGAACCTTCTGAAGTGCTTCACAGGAGCTTTCTGTGAATTTGGGATGAATCTGTGGTTTGACCCAAGCATTATGAAAGCTGTGCTCTTTCACAATGCAGCATCTGCCAGCTGTGACTATAAACATATATGGCGTCCAGGTAGCTGTGCTAGCAGCCACCTGGTAGTGATGCACATAAGAAGGTCACTGCCTAAAACCAGTGATTAATAGTGATGG